TGAATCAAATTTTACTTGATCTGGATTTAAATTTGGCCAAAGAAAATTTTCTAAATATTGACTAAATTCCAATAGAATAATTCGACGAAGATTAAAACTAACAAAGGAAAAAAAAAACAATAAAATAATAATCTTTTTTTTGTTTTGTTTTATTCTTACTTAGTACCCAATAATTCTTTAATATAAATTTCATCAACAACTAATCGATCATATGCACGTCTTTGTAATGCATATGATGCCCAATATTGTTCCGAAAGCTTAAAAGAAATAAATAATCATTTTCATTTTTTTTTATTCTTTCACATACAAGTGTTATTCGATCTTTATTAATTTGTTCAACAGTTGGTGCTGCATTCTGACCACGTGGCATGATCTAAAAACAAAAATCTACACACATACAATTAAGAAAAAAAAGCCAAACATCTTCCTTCTTTTTTATTGAGATAAATAAATAAGGTTTTAGTTAAACGAGCTAAGAAGAAAAAAAAAGAACATAACAATGAGAATAAGAATGCTCGTAATTTCAGCACAAAAACAAAAAAGAAAAAGAAAAGACAAAAGACACTCCGTTTGACTGCATACATAATAGAGATGATAAAAATGAATAACGAAAAAGAAAAACAAACAAACACACACACACACACACATATATTAATATCTATATGTATCAATTGGAAATCCAATGATGAAAAACAAACAACGAATCATTTTTTTTTGTGTTTTCTATTGAAGAATATTTCGAATTTCACGATGTAAATGATAGAGAAAATCAACATATGATGCACCACCTGTAAAACCTTTATCTTCGATAAGATAATTTTTGAAAAATGGTTCAATTGAATCACGTTGTTGAATAACAAAAAGCTTAACAAAATAAATAAATAATAATTAGTTACGATGAAAATTTTTCTCATTACTTTCATATAACTATCTCGTTCATTACGAATTAAATTTAATAATGTTCGAACATTTTTTGATATTGGATTATCAAGATCAGCAATACGACACTAAGATAACAAACGACAAAAAAATAAAAATATTTAAATAAAGAATTTATTTAATATAAATACTTTTTCTGGTTGAATATGTGATGTTTGAATACCAAATAATGATTGTGTAAATGTAGGATTGATTTGACTACCAAGCCAAATATACATTACAAAACCATTTTCTAAAAAAATAACGATTATATAGAAATTGATTATAATGAATTTTTAATTGAAAAGTAGACATTTTTTTCAAAATTCATAAAGCTAGTTATTATTTCTAGTCCTATTGAATTAAACGATTAAGTACATTGTTAAGCACGTAGCACCAATTCAAATAGTGATTTTAATAGCCAATGAAGTTTTCTATCTAATACCCTTTATAGCAAGATTTCACAGATGAACTATGATGGCAAGGCTCCTAAAAAACCGAACATGATATTTTTCAGGTTCTAGAAGACTTTACCAGAACTATTTTTAACGGTGCTAACTTAAAGAGCGCAAAATTCTGAGCAAAATGAACGATCGCCGAGTTTTCTATGGACTTCTTGTAAAAAGTTACCAGCATCACAAAAATCATGAAAAAGGCGTTTTTAAAAAAAAATTTCGCTTTTTCATGATTTTTGTGATGCTTGTAACTTTTTATGAGAAGGTCGTAGAAAACTCAGTGACCCCTTATTTTGTTCTCTTTAAGATGGCACCGTTCAAAAATAGTTCTGGTAAAGTCTTCTAGAACCTGAAAAATACCATGTTCGGTTTTTTAGGAGCCTTGCCATCATTATTTCATCTGTGAAATCTTTCTATAAAGTGTATTGAATAGAAAACTTCATTGGCTATTAAAATCACTATTTGGATTGGAGCTATGTGCTTAAAATTATGAAAAAAAAACATTGTTTCTAAACTTTTTTCCATCACTTTATATAGCGTGGACTCTGTTGTAGTATAAAAAATCTAACATAATCAATTTTCTTTTTTTTTTATGAGTGTTCATACCAATAACATAAGCTCCTGTTTCCGAGAGACGATCGTATGAACATCGAATCATTGGTGGTGGTATATTATCTTCTTCCAAATTATGCTAAACACGAGAAAAAAAAAAGAAATTAAATTTTACATAAAATAATTCTATATGTACAAACCAAAGCATAAACTCTGGGATAAAGATATGCAAATGTTCCTTTAACACCCGTAGACATTAATCGATGCATTAACAAACTTCGATCATCTGTTGTTACTGTTTGAGCTTAAATTTCAAATCAATATAAAATTTTTATTTCAATAAAAAAATAAAACTAAAAATTAAAAAACATACTTCCAGTTAAAGCATCACATTTAATTAATGATGTAGCATAAACTGGTAATAATTTTAATGTTTCTGGTAAAATTAATTGTCCAGCTGTTGTTGATTGTGCACAATTTTTTCTATAACATGCTAACATATTTGCTGCTTGTGTTATTATACTATCACGTATACTCTTCGGAGTTGACACTGTTATTGAACGTAGAGCTAAAATTTAAAAATACACCATAAAAAAAAAATAATTCATTATTAAAGATGACTATAAGTTTTTTGATTATATAGAATGGAATATATCTAGGCTTTTGGATAAAGACTTTATCTATTAAATGTATACAGAATCAAATTTTACTGCATACCGTGAACATGTCCGTAGATGGTACCATCTATTGACATATTAACGATGCGCAGCAGAACCTAACACATTATAAGGATTTGACTATAGAATGGAATATATGTTGAGTTGTAGAGAAAGACTTCCTTAAGTTCTACTGTGTATTGACAGATTAACAGTATGCAGTAGAACTTAAGGACAATGTTTCCAATAGAAATCTGAAACAAAGTATATTTGGACATTCGCTTTCATTGACAAAGTATTCGTTGGTACTTTGTTTTGAATATCAAAGTACCAGTTAATTGAATACACACATATGAAATGAGATCATGCTCTCCGATTATGGATGGGCTGGGATCTGACCTCACCACAAATCGAAACTATATGTTCGACTTTCTGAGAAATTTTCTAACATATTCTACCAAATTTTTGAAAACTTCACATGATAAATTCTGACAGAAAGTCAGATAAGGTACTTTATGGGAAATTTTAGCCCCTTTCACTTTTCAAAATAATCGAGAATCATGAATGAAATCTAAATATACGAGCTTTTTTATTTTACAGAGTACCATCGAGGTAGCGCTTTTTTTCCAGCAAGGTACAAAATACAGTACTTTTTCAAAATCGTAGGTACCTCGGGGTACTTAATATTGAAAATACTGCTTAAGGAAGTCTTTTTTCTAGAAGTTAACATATATGTTCCGTTCTGTAGTAAAACCCTTATGGTCACTTTTACTTATAAAAATTTATATTTTCTTTCTACTAACCCACTTTTGTTACATAATTCATAATTACATCAAGATCACAAGCTGGATAAAGTGATGTATATGATGAAGTAACTGTTAAAGCTAATGTTAATATACGTAAACGACGTTGACCTGATATACTTGTATAAAGTAAAGCAGCCTATATGAAATATATATATATATATATTGATAAAAATTTCAAAAATTATAATTTACTTGAATATAAGTATTGCTTTCAACAGGTAATTTATCATCATGTTTTAATTCAACACAAACTGATTTATCCGAATCAATAGTACCAAATATCATTTCAGTAGCATTTGTCATATAGAAATTACCAAGAAAATCTATTGGTCGAATACCTTAATAGAAAAAGAAAATAATCGATTAGAATCGAAATATAGAAATGAATCTATTGAAGATCAAATCTAGAAATAAATTCAAGACAATGATTATTGTCACTGAAACGTTCTTTACACAGTTGATAACAATCTTAAAAATCGAGTATCCGACCTAAGAATTGAATGATCAGAGAAATTTTAATAAAAAAACCGAATAGATACATGATTTAGATCCAAAGTTTTTCCATCTAATATACATGTAAAAATAAGAGGCTTACCTGTACTTGTTCGTACACGCATTAATGCATCAAAAGCTGTTGTTCGTTGAAAATTTCTTTTTAATTCATCTAATAATCTTTCACCATCATTTTCAATCTATAATTTATCATTGAATAATTCTTATAAAAAAAAGAAAAAAAAAATCTTACTGAAAAATAATTAAATTTATAAATCTGTCCACCAGATACACGACAAACTTCACCAATAGTTGCTAAATCAAGATAATTATTTGGAAAAACAAATAGATCAACAGCACAACCATTTTGTGCACATTCTTCACCAATTTTTGTATAAACATTATTAACTGGTGCAAGTAATGTCTAAATTATTTTTTAAGTTTAATACAAAAAAAAAAAATATTTTTTAAATTAAAAACAAACTTTTTCTTTTTCAGTTCCAAGTAATTTTTTATCATCACGATTTGATAATTTTCCCGGTGCAACAGATATTGGTAATGTTGTTGAAAAAATATAAATTTTACCTGCACAGTGTGCTTCCTATGATATTTTATTTTTTATATAGAAAAATTCCAAAAAAAAAAAAAAAACAAAATATCTACTTTTAATGCTTGAATACCGGATTGAATAACCGGTGCTAAAATTGTTTCTGTTTCTTGTGTATTTGCAAATGTTTGTGGAATTTGATCAAGTAAACTTTAATTTCAGCAATAACAACAAAAAAAAAAAAGATTTATTTTTTCTTTTTAATTTAAGAGAGAGAGAATTCATGAAAGCATACAAAAGATTCGATAAGAAAAAGATCTTTTTGTGCATTGATATCTGAAACCCAAAATTTTATCGTTCAATATCCTTTCTTTTCAGAATTACAGGAATTTCTGCCCGGACTTAAATTGACTTCATTAATCCCTATGAGCAGCCTTATTTAATCCCTAGTCATGAGTCCCTGGAGGAGTTAAGATGGAATTCAGAGACTCCTCAGGGAATTGATGAGTATTATCAGGATCTCTCCAGAAGCCACTATTGGAATTCTCTGGAAACTTTAGAGCAACTCTCGGAGGATCCTGAGATATGCAACTTCCCCTGGGACTCATGACAAGGATTCCCCATTTTTCAGGGAACTCCCCGGTGATTTCGTTAGAGAGAGTTGGCTAGGGATTAGTTGTTACATTCCGTAGTACTTGGCAATAGAGATGTTCATAGCGACAGCGCCGTCACGGACATCTCCGTTGCCAAGTACTACAGAATGTAACAACTAATCAAATAAGGCTGTTTATCGGAGTTAATGAAGTCAATTTAAGCCTAGGATGAAATTCCGGCCGCTTTCCTTTCAAAATTAGTTAATACCGACTTTTTACTAGTATCATATCTTTATGGAAATAAACAGTAAAAAATCTCTTGTAAAATTTGTGCTCATTTTCGTTTCAGCG